TTTGATGGGTTTTAAAAAATCAAACTGATTTTGACAATCTCATGGCCCAGAGAAATAACATCCAGTTTGTGGTTTGCCTAACATTTAGATTTTCGCAAGACCTTTGGGTAGATTGTGCCGACGGTGCTTACACTGCTAGAAGCACTTGACATTTCCTTTTTGGATAGAACGGACTATGTGAGCAGTTCAAACAAATACAGACGGAAATAAAATAAAATTTCAAATAAGACTGTTTCATTTGTGAACTGTCCAGCATATTCTTTTTAAAAGAGCCTGAAATGGGGCGCCTGGGTGGCTCAGTCAGTTGGGCATCCGACTCTTGGTTTCAGCTCAGGTCCTGGATCGAGCCCCGAGTCACCTCCGCACTCAGCACGGAGTCTGCTTGAGGATTCTCTCCCTCTGCCCCTGCCCCCCACTCACATGCACATACACTGTCTCTCTAGAATAGATAAATCTTTAAAAAAAAACAAAAACCTGCAATGATTTGAAAGGGCTTGCAGGCTCGTTCTGAACCAGGAAGCTGTAATTCTGTCTGTCCTGCAAAACAGATAGTTTCTATGGATAAGGAAGTGTGGAAAAGGGGGAAAGAGTAAATAGGGATAAAGGAATGTGGTAGAAAAAGTACAAAGAAGAAAAACCAAATATCAAAAGGTGAGTCGTGGGAACCAGTGAAGACCAAGTTCACATGTTAGGTACTAGAATTATCAAGTGGGAGGGTGATTAGATTCATAGATATTTAAACCTGGGGGGGGGCGCGCCTGGGTGGCTCAGTTGGTTCAGCGACTGCCTTCGGCTCAGGTCATGATCCCGGAGTCCCAGGATCAAGTCCCACATCGGGCTCCCTGCTCAGCGGGGAGTCTGCTTCCCCCTCTGACCCTCCCCCCTCTCATGGTCTCTCTCTCTCTCTCATTCTCTCTCTCAAATAAATAAATAAATAAAATCTTTAAAAAAAAAAAAATAAACCTGGGGGGGGTGGGAGGGATGGGGTGGCTGGGTGATAGACATTGGGGAGGGTATGTGCTATGGTGAACGCTGTGAATTGTGCAAGACTGTTGAATCACAGATCTGTACCTCTGAAACAAATAATGCAATATATGTTAAGAAAAAAAAAAGATAGCAGGAGGGGAAGAATGAAGGGGAGTAAATTGGAGGGGGAGACGCACCATGAGAGATGATGGACTCAAACTGAGGGATCTAGAGGGGAGGGGGGTCGGGGGATGGGTTAGCCTGGTGATGGGTATTAAAGAGGGCACGTTCTACATGGAGCACTGGGTGTTATGCACAAACAATCATGGAACACTACATCAAAAACTAATGATGTATGGTGATTAACATAACAATAAAAAATTTTAAAAAAACTAATGATGTATGGTGATTAACATAACAAAAATTTAAAGAAAAGAAAATGTAAAAAAAACCATAGATATTTAAACCTTATTTCTATGGAAAAAAAACTTTCTCTACTTGCTAAGTAAAACTTGTCAAAAGGCCTTATTCCTTAAATTCATCTCTGTGTGCATTGAAACAATGTATATTGTATCACCAGCCAAAGGATTGGGACAAATCACTTATTTCCCAATTAACTTATCTAGAAGTGATATGAAAGAGTGTAGTAGAGCACAAGGTTTTCTTGTTTTCTATGACTGGACCACAAGACTGGAGCTTACTGTCCATGTAGTAGCAGTCTCCTGTGAGCCCTTCACAGCTAAGCCTGGGACTTAGTTACAATACAGTGGTTTGAATGAGGCGCTGATGGCTGAGAGAGAATTACTGTGGTTTCCCTACATCGCCTTCTGAGCAGGATTGCATGCAGTGTGTACATGTATTCCTCAGCAACACAACTGCTTGTGAAACGGGTTATATTAGGATGCTTGCTGCTGGTCATGAGAAAAGACCCAACTCTGGATTCATCTCTGGTTCAGAGATACCAAGAACCCTGCTTTCCTTCCTTCCTTCCCAACCTGTCATTCTCAGCATTTTCTTTCTGGGCTAATAATATTCATGATCAGAGACGCCTACCATTATTCCAGGTGTTATGTATTATCCAACGGTGTCCAGTGAAAGAACTTGTTCCTCTTGTGCCTTTAGTGACTATAAAACCTTTCCCAGAGCTCAGCAGAATCCCCCTCATATCTTGCCTACGTCTGGCTCACTTGCCTGTGTCTAATCACTGGCACAGGGAATGGGACCACTCTGGCTTAGAGGGGTCATATTTACTCCAGTTGCCTGCAGGAGGGTGGGCACTAATTCAGAACTGAGACTGCCAAAATGGAGGAGCAAACAAGGGCTTCTGAGCAGGCATAAACAAACTGCAACAGGGTGAAATGAAATGTTGAGAA